CACTCCACCTGGCTATTTATCGCTTCTTGAAGATGTCTTTCTAGAAGTCCTTTCCAACAACAGTTGCTCAGATTTTAGCCACAAAGTCCTATCTTTAAGGGAGGCTGGAATAAGTCCATAAGTTATAAAGTAATGATGGGGAGACATTGCTACCCCTATTAATATACAGATGTTAGTGAGGAAGAAATATAAGCATTTAGCAGTATTTGCCCCGAGTAGCTTCATAGGAACTTTTAAAAGACACTGCAGTCAAGCCCAGTGGGTTACACCTGTAATCCCAGCTACTCAGGAGGCTGAGGTAGGAGGATGGCAAGTTCAAGGCCAGCCTTGGCAACTTAAGGATATTCTGTCTCAAAAAAAGGGGGGGGGTGCTGGAGATAGATAGGCCCTGAGCTTGATCCCCAGTAAGGCAAAAAAGAAACAATCATTTTACATAGTCCATCCCACCTCCATTCTGAGAGGAAGTACTTAATATCTTAATGCACTTGRGAAGAGTGGATACTTTTAAGCTATAAGCATTGCAAACAGGACCCTGGTGCATCTTCTGTTTTCCAGACCTGTGCTTTTGTCTGACAATACAACTTTATAGACTTTTCCATATAGATCCTGTTTTAATTTGTTGATTTAACATTTGGGTTACTTTTATGAATGGAACATATCCCCACACCCCATACTATCCCCTGCTGGGTAACTGYCAGTTTAAAGAAAAGCCATTCATTTCAGTCATGTTTCTTACAACCAGACATTTCTACCAAACCCTCTTATTTATGGTTTTGGAGCCTCTCAGATTCTCCAGATCATAATAATATTTACAAATAAAGATATTCCCYCTTCTATTTAAATATTGGTGCTAGTCGATTTATTTCCTGCCTCAGTGCATTGAACCAAATTGTGACATCATCGGTGGGAATGATGAATCAGGATGAGTGTCCATGCCACCTTCCTCCTTGAGGGCAGTGGCTTCAGCCTGGCCTCTTTTGGTGTGACGCTGGCTGCTGGTTGTGTTTAGAGTGCATGATGAGGAGCGGCTCTAGCTCAGCGGTTCCTTCCACAGGGCATCTACAACAAGAATGCATGATGTGCCCACCTGTAATCCCAGTGGCTCCAGAGGCTGAGGCAGGAGGATTGGGAGTTCAAAGCCAGCYTCAGCAACTTATCGAGGCCCTAAACAACTTAGCAACTTAGTGATACCCTGTCT